ACTGGTTTTAGCTGTTTCATTCATTAACAGATCTATGTAACATGCATTTCAGTTTTCATGATCCACGCACACACTTTGTTAAAATAGATATAATGAAATAATATTGTGTGATGACACCGATTCATCTGCTATTCTCTCTAATTGTGCACAGGGACCTAAATATGAACGGCCGAGAGACTGCAGAGCAATCACGTGAAGCTATGTAACTGAGAGGTTTTGAAAAAGTCAAGACTGTCAAACTTTTGGTCACCTACCTAGTGCAGTGAAGTAAACTCGGTGAAACGAAGCTCATTCCAGAAAGGACGGAAGCCATGCTTTTAAAAACAAACAAGAAACCTTATCATCGTTTTGAAAGCCAAATTACTTTGAGAGAGAGCTCCCAGATTTTGGTAAAACATGTGATAGAAAGTTAATATTTCCAGATTTCAAACCTTAAGGAGTCCTCCAGTTTTGAGGATGGCTAAGGCTCGTGACTGCCCGGTCCTGCCAAGTCCTCCCCTCATCTCCAAAAGCACAGGACAGAGGCCTCTAGACAATACTCCCAGAGACAGCAGCACTTCCGCTCCCGCGGGAAGTATCTTTGCAGCGTCCAACTTTTCTCGTCCTCAAAATCAAAGTCCCAATCCTGTAGGCCTCTGAGAAATATTATGTAGCAGTTGCAGCTGCAAAATGGGCAGAAAAGGTAGGGAGGTGACAGGCGGCTGGTGTCCTCTGGGCAGGTGTTTTCCATACTAGTGCACCAGGGATAAATCTCTTACAGAAAGGTGACCCTACCTGATCCACATAAAACAGGTCCATTGTCTCAAGCATCACATCATGAAGACATTGAACTTAAACTAGGTCTGTTCAGAGAATGAGTGGGCTCGGACACAGAACGTGGCCATTTCCTATTTAATGGCTGTACTAGTCAGTGTTCTCCAGAGAAACAGAACCAACAGGCTGGATATATACGGGGGAGGCACGTAAGAGGAAGTTTGCTACAGGAGCTCACAGGTGCAGAGGCTGAGCAGACCCACGGCCTGCCGTCCGCAGGCCGGAGCCCAGCATAGCCACTGGGTCCAGGCCCGAAGGCCTGAGCACCTGGGGGCTGCTGGCGCTGGTGCCGGGTAAAGACACACGTCTCCGCCCCAGGGGCGATGGCCGTCCTGTCCCATTTTTTGTTCTATCTCGGCCCTCAGTGGGCTGGATGACGTCTCAGGTGAACTCCCCGCCATCACCCCTCTCTCCCTGCCTTCAGACAGACTGCCACCCTGCTGACCCCCACCTCCTCCCCCCTGCCCCCCGCAGCGACCCTTCTGACTGAGAGCAGAGCCAAAGCAGCATGTTGTTGTTGTGAGGAGCAGTGCAGCCACGTGGTAAGTCAGATAGGCCTCTAGATGTTTCTGCCACAGTTCTGTGCTCCATTTCCACAGGTGACCTTTTTGCTTGGAGATTATCAATTCGAAACCCTAGTACTGTGACAGATACATGTCTAACTAGAATCTTTGTGACGAGTTCTTGTTTACCTTGGTACTGCCATTTAAACACTATACCGTAGCCAAGGAAACAATATGATAATGATGCTCAAAATGAATGTTAACATTTTGCTAGAGTTAAATTTTCCAACTCACATTTAGGCAATGTATACTTTTCAAAAACCACATCGCAGTAACATTTTCTATTTAGAATGACTATGCACATGTTTTGCTTATCCATTCCATAAAAAAAAAAAAAATTCTAAAAAACCTCTTTTAAAAAGGCATTTTTGTTAGAGAGGGGGGTGTGTGTTTATTTTAGTGTAACTGTTGTGTAATTCACTGAATGGGCTTTAGATTGAGTTTCCGAAAGGCACCATGGTTATGAGCAAAAGGTTAGAAGGGGGGTGACAATGAATTAGGGTCGCTGGCAGCCTGAGACACTGCTGAGCACATTTGAGGTAGATGAATTCAAATTGCCTTCATTAGCTGAGCAATACGCCCTGGAAACGGGCTGGGAGGCGCTGCCATTTGCATTTTTGCTAAGTGATCAGGCAGCTACCTCTGTTTTCTGGTGTTTAAGAGCAGTGACTAGGAGAGAGAGAAACCGTTTCAGGTAAGCAAGCCAGGGGCATTCGAAGACTAAGAAAAAGTTTATGAATGGAGATGTCAGAGTTATGCTGAGTCTATCTGTGGCACGAAAAGACAATCTCACCAACAGCTGGGCTCTGGGATGTCAGAGCATTAATTCTCCCCACGTTCCCGGCACCACAAGAAAAGCTCGAGGCTGTTCTTTTGATAAATGATCAATCCTCCAGCATGACACTGCCCTAGCCGCCCTGCTGTTGCTAGTTAAAAGTCTGAATTTCAATTAAGCAGTAAATCTTTATGGTATTACATCTTGAACAGTCAGTTAACTTCTCCCTAATCCCCTACAAATCTGAAACAGGATTATTTTGCAGAGTCATTTCCTGCAAGCTCACTGAAAAGGAAAAATATTCTTATTTGACCAGTAAAGAAAAATTTTCCTTCAAATAAAACATTAAGTATTAAATAATTGTTTTGTTTAGGTTTTTAACAATAGGCCTACATACAAAAATTACACTTCCGCAGTGTAAGTTAAGACGCAATCAAATGTGTTAATATATAACTTGAGTGAAAGTCCATTTTCTTCACTGTGCACCTTCAGCACGTACATCCCATCTCAGAATTCTTTTCCACGTACACATTCTTTGGAAGAATTCTTACGTCACACGAAACACGTACACATTCCTAACACCAACCACGCTCAAGTCAGTGTAAACATTCTTGGTCCCCACGTCACCTCAAATGCCCCCAGAGATTTTTTTCTTAAAACTTCTTGTCTATTTTCAAAAAATATTAGTTGATGCCTAAAAAAGAAAAAAGAAGCAGCTAAGAGAGACTATGTCTATGGGATTTCTGCAGCTTTCTTGAAAATTTCAATATTTTAAGAGAAAATACAGGCCATTTAACAGGCACCATTTCCTTCATTTAGGATTTTAAAAGTAATTTAAAAGTAATGAGGCCACAAAGCCAAATTAACACAGCTTCGAAGCTGCAGTATTAAAGAAGCCTTAAGAATTAGAGCCACTATTGGAATGGAATATAATTTTTGCTGTTCAGAATTTTAGAAGAAAGTCTTTCCCTTGGAAGCAAATGCAGTTTTGTTCATGTCGATAAAATTCTGCCATTGTAAGTGCTACTTCTCTCAGTCATTAAGAATGCAGACATTTCTTCCATTCATTCAGATCATTTTAACAACTGAAGATGTCTGAACTACTTCATTAGAACGCCTGTGGGATTGTAATAAAAAGAAAATAAACACATTTTAATTTAAATGATTTATGGATCAAACCAGTATATGGAAGCTATTATGTTGCAGGTATGTCACTACTAGCTGCTCAGGTAGAGTCAGTTCAACCAGGGGTCCCCAACCCCAAGGCCATGGGCCAGTACCAGTCCGTAGCCTGTTAGGAACCAGGCCGCACAGCAGGAGGTGCGCAGCGGCCAGCGAGCGAAGCTCCATCTGTGTCTGCAGCCGCTCCCCAGCATCAGCATCACCGCCTCAGCTCCGCCTCAGATCACCAGGCATTAGATTCTCACAGGAGCACCGGTCCCTGGTGCCACAAAGGCTGGGGACCACTGGAAACAGGTCTGAATAGGGAATGTTTTTACCTACAACATTCCAGCTGTGCAACATAAAACACTCAGAAAACCAGCACGTAGCACAGGGCGGAGGCTCTGCCAGCCAACGGCCCAGTTAGCCAGCTACTGGATGCGGGGCTGCCTGACTGCAGATGTTTGTTTTTCATTCCACTACAGTAGAATCTTCCACTATGTTTGCCACTAGCTGCCAAAGCAGTTCTTAAAAATGAAATCATAGTTTAATATTATAGCCAATATGCCCATGGATAACAATCCAAACATCATTTCGTTTAATACTAGATATTTTATTTTCTTTTGGAAAACAAAGTTATTCATTATATTTCTTTTTTCAAAATTTGATGTTATTTTAAGTTTAACTCAACTCAATTTATTCCATCCAGTGTTAGAATACTGTGTGTTCTAAGAAATGCATGGACGGCTATTACTCTAATCCAGCTAACTACACCTTCCAATGAGCCAACGAAGCTTACTTTGACGGCTGGGCTTAACTCGTCACGGAGGAATAAACAGTGTGGTTAGTGGTTAGTTGTCACTGAACAATGCATGCTTGTATTTTCAGCACCGTCCTACTATGGTGAGAAAAAAAGACATTCACGTCTTGATTACAAGAATTCAGGAAATGGCTACTAGGAGCCTTGTAATTCTGGAATCCTATAATTCTATGATTATTTTTAAACAAAATCGAGGTATAGACTGTTGTGTAGGTAGAAACACATGCCTCTTATTCCAAGTAACTATTCTTTTCGTCACTGAGTTTATTTTACATTACTTTTGCATATCAGATTAATCATAAGGACTAAAAAACTGATAGGTGTTAAAATACATTGGCAAGAAACTGATAAAAATAAAGATGTCTTACAAAATAATAAACTATGTAGTTGCATTACAGTGGGAGACCAAAGGTATGGATATGGATGAAAGAGAAGGGGCAAAATTTTCTAGAATAGGAAGGTGATGACAGAAAACAAAACAACGGGAAAGATGCGGCGGAAGCCACACCACAACGTCCATCGAGGTTACGTTTCAAGCGGAGACACTGGAGTAGAGTGTAGAAACAGCCGTATTTGCTTAACAGGTGACCCGTAACTTAAATACTACGGACTCTTTAGGGACATAGCAGAGGAAACGAGACTCGCGCGCAGGTGTCACAGAATGCGTGCTACGCGCGGATCTTTAACCCAAAGGCCGCGCGGGAGGCCATCCCCACCCATCGCCACGCACGACCCCGGGGGCCATCCCCACGCAGGACCTGCATGTGCCCCCAGGCCGTTGACAGCCCCGCTGTCCCACGGTCAACCCGCCCGCGACAGCGTCGCGGCTCGCGCCCCGAACCCCGCCCCGCCCCGCGCACGCGCCTACCGTCGTGGTTGGGGTTCCCCAGCGTCCAGGGCTCGTCCGAGTCGAAGTGCGTGTCGCCGCCGATGCCCGGGCCCGGGAAGTACGCGTGCGCCAGGAAGCCGCCCTCGCCGTCGAACGGGGAGCTGTCGCCGTGGAAGCCGGACGCGAAGATGATGGTGATGTCCGCGTCGCGCCTGCCGCTCTCCAGCTCTCCGTACGGCACCTCCTCGAACGTCAGCGGCGTCACATTCTGCCACACGTCGAAGGCGCGGCGGATGGCCTTCCGCGTTTCGGGGTCTCCGACCTTCGGGGTGACGTTCTTGATGCTGCAAGTTAAAGAAACGCGTGAGCAGCCCGCTGCGCCCCTGCAGAGCTGCCGCCACGGCCTGGCGACGTCGGAGCAGTGGCCGCGCTAGGTGGTGCCACCCGCGTCGGGTCAGGGGCCCCGGAAGGGGCGGACAGCGGCAAGGCAGGGCCTGTGGCCACCAAGCAGCCTGGCCTGGCACAGACCCGAGCGTCAGGAGCGCGGGGGTGACACCTGACGCTCGCGGTGAGTAAGCGGTGGCGCCGGCATGAGGACGATATGCTGATGAGGAGCACAGCTGAAGCAGGCAGACCCAGTGGGAACTGTCGCCAGAACACAGGGGACAGGTGACAGTGCTTTGGACCGGAGGGGCGGGGGAGGTACCCGTGGAGACACTGGGAAATGGCTGGACTTTGGATCTATTTCGAGGATACACCTGCAAAGATATCCAGATGGCCGGACACGGGCCGCGAGAGGACAGTGGTGCCGAGGAAGACACCGCATCTTCCGCCTCGAGCCCAAGGATGGGTAGGCGAAGAGAAGGCGAAGGAGGCGTGCCTGCCGAGGGGGACAGCCACGCGGTGTCCCGTTGCTCGTGCTCACTTTATTTTTTTAACTGTATCCTGTTCGGCGTGATGCTCTGAGCTGTCTGAGGGACGGCGAACTACGCTGGGGCATCGCCGACCTCTGTCCAGCTCGTTCATCTCTACATCTCCGGTGTGATGGCTGGACGGGCACGCGGATTAATGCTGCACCTCGAATACTGTCTACGTTAATCTTCCTGGTAGTCGTTTACTGTGTTCCCACCCTACGGATGGCCGAAGCCCCTCACTCGTGGGTGGGTGTTCTCCCGAGCCACGTTAGAAAGACCATACTACCAAGTGGGGGTTGCCCCGGTGTGAGGGATGCAGCTGTGAGCCGGGCTCCGCTCCTGCGGCGCTCACACACTTCGGCGATGAGAGAAACGGTAAGAAAGAACAGCGACAGCGACAAGACTAGGTGCAGATGTGCTGAGGGGGGGGGAGGGGTGCAGAGGGGAAAGGGATTCCACCCAAAGAGGAGACGGGTGCCGAGCACCGGCTTTCCAGCCAGAAGGGGCGGTGAGCAGCCCCAGCGGACCTGGCCAGCTCGAAAACGGAACTGCCCAGCAAAGTGGCGCAAAGGGAGATTGGGACAGCGGAGCGAGAGGACCCGCAGCTGGCGGGCTGAGCCGCGCTCCGTGAAAAGAGGCCACCGGCCAGCAGAGCAGGAGCCTGGTGTTGCTCCAGTTTACGAAGGTCACTGCTTCTGACGGCAGATGGCGGAGACACGGAATGGAAGCAGAAACGCAGTTCAGAGGTTCAAGCAAGAGAAGACCCATGGACTGAGGGGTCGTCACGGAAATACAAAGAATGCGTTCAGCGCGTGTTCTGCGGGCATCTTTCGTGGGAATCGGGACCAGATTCCATGCATAATGGAGAAGTTATTTTGTTTTTGAAGAGGATCATCATACAACAGAAAATAAATGAAATCGCATTAGTATGATATTCATGTACATAACGGTTCTGAGCAAAATGAAGCAATATAATATAAAGAGAATAATAAACGTGGGGTACCATTTGGACTTGAAAACATATCACTGTGATTTCCAAAGCTCTGGACTTATTAGCTTCCAAATACGCTTAACCACTATCTTCGTGATGTCATTAATAAATACAGGACACGTGGATGCACTTCATAGTTGGAGTTCTGAGCTAGGTGCACACGAAAACCAATTTAGAAACTTTTATGCTCCACTGAGAGATGTATTTTGTATTTCTAATAACAGATAACAAAGGGCGCAGAGAAGTTCTGATATTAATAGCAAAATAAGACTTATTCTTAATCATTCTAACACACGCACAAAATTTTTAATGTATATTTGCAAAAGTCAATGTTATAAAATGAATAAAATGCAAGTTATATCTGAAAAGCTTAATAGAGCTAATTTACTTTTTTTCATAATTTGTAGAGTTGCTGCGGCTTCACTTTTCTGTTCCAAGGACAAGAAGTGGTCACAGCCTAGAGACTGAACGCAGTCTCTGCAGGAAGCCTGACCTTAACTATTTGGCTGTTTCCCATGATGCCGGCCTTCCAGATAAGGCAGATCTCAGTTCGCATGGCTCTGGGTCTTATTTAAATAGAGTTCGTTTCCCAGCCTGTGTGTCCTCTGGACACACACCTTGAATTCTTTCTGAAGTCAGTGGGGTCACCAGTGAGAGGGAAAACGAAGAGGAACTCATCGTCCCTCAGCACCGTCTAAGCTCCTTTTCTCTGCGTAACTATTAAAGTAAAATAGGTAACTTCTAGAGTCCTCAGCAGTCATAGAGCTTCTACTAAAAATCAGGGAGAGCTGGAGGATGAATATACTGGGAAAACCAATAGCAATGAACACAATATAATCGAACAATGTTATCATGTTAATTATTATGTCGTGGTTACTCATTAACATAATTCTAAAAACAGATGCATCTGGCAATTTATGTATGTATCCTATTGGTCATTTATTACATAAAATACTATTTTAGAGTTGAGACTTTAAAGAGAAAAGTAACTTAAGCTAAGTCTATTTTACACAGTACCAGTATATTTGGGAAATAAAGATGTAATTGACAAAAATGATGCGATTCATTAAGTTCCTACAGTCGTTTTAAATAAAAGATTAACCAAAGTCTACTAAGGATTCACTAATTCCCTCAACCACCGTTTGTGGAGGGCGTGACCCATAGCAGCCCTCCACTCACCTGTCAGGGATGGGTTACTTCCAGTCTGCGCCCTGGAAGTAACACGCTCTGCCACTTGCCCCACTCACTCACGACCCAGTCTCCGCCCAGACTGCGTTCTGCACGAGGGCGGGGCCTGCCCAGCTCCACTGTTCATCACCAATGCCATCACATGATCCCAACAGAGAACACCTTACCACCCAAGAAGCAAAATTTGCCAGAGAAAACTGATCGTAAATCTAGTAAAAAATTATGTAGTAGCAAATGCTCATACAACATTTACTCTACACAGTGCAACTTCCTAACGTCTTATATATATTAACTTAAAAATGCAATATCCTTAGCTCTCGCCCTCAACTTTCCATAATCCTCTTAGAAAACACTCAATTTCTGCAATTTGGTAAATTAAAGGAGTAAAGATGATAGTTAGCATTTACTAAGCCCTATGTTCCAAGCACTGTGCTAAGTTTTCTTTCTCCCATTATCTGACAATTTTCTCCCAAGCATTATGAGGAAGGTATCATTACAGTATTCACTTTGCACACAGGGAAACCGAGACTTAGAAGGTTAAGTAACTTGACTCTAGTTTTACAGGGAGTATCAGAGCCAGGATCCAAATCCAGACTTTTTTACTCTGAACCACGTGCCGTGCTCATCAATAATCTGGACTTTTACAGGGACGGACATTTAATTACTTGAATATTCAAAACTGGCTGAGGCAAGGTCAGTACAGGGACTCAGCATAAATGGAGTCATGATTGGTTCTGAACATACTGGCCTTTAGCAGTCTCTTCCTTCCTTCTGAATTCTGTATCCAGTGAAAATATCTTTTAAAGGTGAAAGAGAAAAAAGTTTCTTAAAAGAAGAGAAAAGAAAAGAAAAGAAAGACAGATAATTTGTTGCCCGTAGACCTGCTTTTCATGAAATTTTAAAAGAAGTTGTTTAAAGAGAAGAAAAATCCCACAGGCCAGAAATTCTGATCGGTTTAAAGAAAGGAAGAGCATTAGGGGAGAAGTGAATAAAGGTGAAATAAAGTTGTTATTTAAATTGATCTAACAGATAACTGTTCAAAATAATAATAGCAGCAATCTGTGGGATGAGAACAACTAATGGCGGGGTGAAGAGAATGACAACAATGTCATAAGGGACAAGGGGGGAAGAGGAACCGTGTAAAAGGCCTCACAGAGCCTGCAAAGTAGCACAGGTATTTGAAAGTAGATTTAGAGTCATGTAATGTGCATCTCAAACTCTAGAGAACCACGAAAATAATGTTTAAAAGAGTGTAAGTGACATGCTAATAGAAAATGGAATTATAGAAACTGCTCATTTAAACCACAGAAGGTAGAAAAAAAGACCAACGAATGAAGCGCAGCAGCAGCAGGCAGCAGAGCCACCACCACGGCAGACGTTAACTCGGCTACATCACTCACCATGTTAAACGGTCAAAATACACCACTGAAAAGACAGAGATATTAAAGTGGACTGAAAAACAAGATCCAACTATATGTCGTCTACAAAAACCCACTTTCAATATAAAGACACTGATAAGATTAAAAGTATGGGATGAAGAAAGTTACACCATACGACACTAATCAAAATAAAACTGTAATATCAGGCAGGGTGGGCTTCAGAACAGATAGACTCTGCAGACAGAAAAGAGATAAGTATACAGTTGAACTGGACACCACCAACAAGCAACTCGATCTAACTGATATTACAGAATACTTTGTCTTTCCTTTAAAAGATCTGAACAGACACCTCACCAAAGAAGACATACAGATGGCATCTCAGCCTATGAAGATGTGGTGAGCATCGCACGTCATCAGGGAAATGCAAACTAAACCAACAACGAGACACCACTGCACACCCGTCAGAATGGCCGAAATCCAGAACACTGACGACACCCAGTGCTGACGAGGACGTGGAGCCCCGGGAACGCGCTTCACTGCCGGTGGGAATCGAAATGGTGCAGCCGCTTTGGAGGGCAGCTTGGTGGTTTCTTACAAAGCTACCCATGATCTTACCATGCAGTTAGCAATCGCACTGACAGGAAAAGTTAATTAAAAGGCTCAAAGACATTCTGTTTCAACGGCAATTATTTATATATTTTGTTGTCCGAGTAGCTTTTCGGTTACAGCTACTTGTGATAGAGTGCAGTGCGCCGAACACTCGCCTCACAGTCCCCGAGCAGTGGCCCTCATTCGAAGAGGCTGGAGAGTCTGGCTTGCAAAGGAGACCAGGCGCTTCCAGGAACACCCGCAAAGCCCCCGAGTGGACGGTTCGTTCTTCCTCAGTTGCAGTTTTAATTTCCTGATGTTAACATCATATCACTATGTCACCATATAGTCGACATGCATAAGCTGTCAAACAAAACGTCAGAATAAACAGTTGCAAAAAAATGGAAAAACGGTAATTCACCATTCGTTCTGATACCTGTAAGTGATGTGTTTGTGCTGCCACTTCTGTCCTGTTAATGCGTATCGCTTTCGACGAATATTAAATTTGGAGCTACCTCTTGTCTGGTCAGGCACACCGCATCGAGGCTTCTTCATCCAGCTGCAAAAAGCAGTATTTTCCAGTTACTGATCAACAACCCTAATCATTAAGTTTAAAAGGAAATAAACTGAGACGGTAATCTAGGACAGTGATAATGAAAATGGAAATCAAAAAGGCGAAGACTGTCCATTTTCCTGCAGTTTGAATCTACGTAGAAAGCACTTTTTTTCTCTTGATGATCAAGAATCACTAGTTTACAACTCAGACCTTCCAAATATTTTTTCGCTAGTTTATTTTTAGCTAACTGTTGACCCAGTCTCATAAAATCAGACTTTTTAAAATAAATTATCACTAAGGTTTCTTTCAGCTTTAACGTACAACACTGTTACGATCTTAAGCTCCACGAGTCGGGAAGGCACATGGCACTCTCCTCCTGCGCGCACGGAAGTCACCTGCTCGTGTAAATAACACTGCCTTCCTCCACTTTTTTCTTCTTTTCGCTTTGATCTTGACCTCAGTTTCTAAGTGACGGCCACCTGCTTTGGATCTTTAATAATATCCAAATTCAAGGCTTAAAATTTTTTGCCCGAATATGAGGTTTAGCATCACACGAGTTTAACATATTTGCCTTAGGAAAATAAAATGCTGCCTCTGATTTGCTCATTTTACGTACTTATACAGACACGGCTGTCTAACTTCCAGAGAGTATGCTTTGACCACTGTCATGCTTTCTACATATTCTTGCTTCTTATCTAAGGAGAAAAGTTTTCATTTTGAGTAGTTTTTCTTTAGTGACTCAAAGGGTGGCTTCACTGTTCAGCGTCCCTTTTAAATTAAAAATTACAGAGCTAATGCAGGCTTCGTGGGGCAACATGCTTCAGAAAGTGATATAAGAAAAAAATCATTTTTTGCTGTATTTCACCAAACACTGAACAACTTCTACACTCTCTAAATGAAAGAGAATTGAACTGGTTGTGGAGATGGCCACCCAAACACGGACATTCTGCACAAATAAACAGCTTCCACGTTACATGGTTAAATCAGCTAATCGGCTTTTACAGACAAAAGAATGATGATGTTTCATGCAACGTCATCGTGACAGCTACTTTTAGGAAAGATGATGCTTTTCCAATAAGCTTCTCCTTTTCATTCTGCCCCCGTCATCATGCAGACATAACAAATCCCACCTCATTTAAAATGCACCGTAGAGTCACTCCAGAAAATCTCTGCATTTATTAAAATCTCCAAGTTAAGCAGACACCTTGAGAATGCCAACTCCGAGGGCCCGCCGGCCTACGGAACTGACTGTGGAGGTGAGGCCAGGGCCTCTGCCCTTCACCTCATAGGCCTGGGCATTCCAAAGGCCCCATATCTGAGCATTGTTTCACTAGACTGTAAGGCAGTGGAGGGCAAGGGATCTACATACTCCCAGTTCCTTCGAAAACCTCTGGCATAAGCAGATATCCAGTGAGCAGATGGGAAAGAAAGATCATTATGTTTTATTATATATACTGTAAGATCTAGACCTAGATTTAACTAGCAAGTACTAAGCATTAATGATGGACTCATGATGATTTAAGTGGCTTTTACATATGGGTATTTAATTACATCAACAAAAATTATAATATTCCTAAGGCGGCTACAAAGCTTTACTTATCTCACTAAAAGTACTAGGAGAATAAACAATATATGGTTACTGAATATGAATAAATTTACTTAACGCAGAACAGGGTCATACTTAGGAACATGGTCATGGCTAAGGAAAATATTTAAGGAAACACTCTAATAGGAGAAAAATTTTGAAATGGATAGTGGGATTAGAGTTTGACAGAACAGAATTAGCTATTATCAGAATACGATGCATTTTCAATGAGAATATGCTCTCTAAAGCTACGTTAAGAACGCACAGAATTGAAAGGTGAAGGGAGTAACCAATAGTTAGGTTCCGTGATGCCCGTGCCCACCGGGGCCATGCACGCGCCCCAAGGACAGGCTGGGGCGGGTGAGGGTCCCGTGCTGACGTGTTTCCTGGGCCTCTGCCCACTGCAGGCGACTTCGTCCTATGTTCCAACTGTGTGTCCGTGTGTTTCCTCACTCCGTCCCGGCCCACTCACCCCACACATTTCTGAGCTTTATAACACGCTGAGAGATACTTAACGCACCGCGCCACACACAGGTGACGTATTACTGAATCGTACACTTGAAACCTGTATAATTTTATTAACCAATGTCACCCCAACAAACTTAATTTAAGAAACATGGATAAAAAGATAATCGAGGCGAGAGGCCCTTGCTGAGTCCGCATCATGCAGGTCAGACGTGCGTGATACAAAAACACCGCGACACAGCAGGCTCAGTGCTCTCATCTCCACCCAGCGTCCTGTCGCCCCTTCTCGTCTCACATGTAACAAAAGCAAAACTACGTTCCCCGGCCCCAGACTCGCGCCTATGGCCCTGGTGCCTCGTCTCAGCCAGAAGTCCTAGCCCCCTTCTGACGCCCGAGCAGACCGCCGGTGGCGCCCTCCACTGCTCGCCCTGGCACCCGGCCCATCAGCGCATGGCCTCCTCTGCCTCCAAAACTGCTCTGGCATCTCACTGTCACCAGTGATTCGTTCTGTCGCCCAGAGGAGCGGGGTGGGGGGGCCGTGGGAATGGGGTCGGGGAGCAGGGGGTGTAGGGGCCGTGGGAACGGGGTCCGGGAGCCAGCCGCCAGCCCGCCCCAGCACCTGCGGCTCGGAACCGGGCGTCGCAGGCTCCTGGTTCCGTTTCTCTCTCCTCCTGGTCTCCTTGCCTGCATTTTCCTGAGTCATCGTGGGAGTAAATTCGTTGGATCATGTGAAGTGCTTGGAACAGGGCCCGGCGGAAACGACCGCTGTCGCTGCCGCAGGTCCAGGACCGTGTCACCGTGTCTTCTAGATATTTCTAAATATGCTTATTTTTATTACATTAAAAGTCCTCAGGTCGTGTTTGGTTCGTGGAGCCAAATCCAGCAGTTAGGATGATTTGTAAAAAGTAACGTCGTTTAGGCTCAGCTGTGGACGGGCTGCCAGTGTCCTCTGCCCCGCAGGCTTTCCTCCTGTCGACTGACTCTGAGCTGCCTGCGTGGACACGTGTGTTCTTTACGAGGCTGAAGTTGCCAAGTTAAACAACTGAAAACCCCACGCACAGAAAGTACATCTAGGAAGCCTCCGTGGCCTGTGAGCTGAACAGAGGCTCAGTCAGCGCCCGCTCTCATTTAAGCCTCCACCTTTGACATCTCAGGAGGCAGATGTAAGGCCCCTGCTCCCCACCACCCTCCACAGCTGCCAGAATGAGGACTGACCCAGCCTATGGCCTTAGAGTATCTGAGCAATGCTGGAGTATTCAGAACATACCTAGACGTGTGAACAAAAAGAACTCTAATTGCTGATGAATCGCTTATATCTAAATTGGAAAAGACGAGTCTTAACTACATAAGTCAGACAAAAGAGTAAAAATCATGACAATATGATAATTAAGCCAAAAAGCTTGTGGTTCTTGTGATATATATAGCTAAAAAAAAATTTAATTCTTAAATTAGGAGTTCAAACACCACTATAGTTTCATAATAATTCTTTGATAAAAGTTACTTATTCCGTCTTAAATTAACTTGAGATAAATTTCTGGGCATGGTTTGAATAAATTAAGCAGAATTACTCAGCTCATCTTAAATATATATATGCCTGCATGTGCATCTCCATGCATGTGTACATCTGCGTATATGTGTGTGTACATGTCCGTTTGTCAATCATGAGGCTGTGCACACATCAAAGATAAACTAGAATTTAAAAATACTTAGTATTAACATTAGAAAAACCTATTAGACTCATTTTCTTTATTGCCTCATTATCTTTTTCTCTCCCTGCTAAATACATCCCTTCTATGCATACGATAAATTATTCCACTTATTACGGAACTTAAGTGAGCTTACTTCCAAAAATGAGCTAAGAAACCCATAATTTAAAAGAACCACTGCAATATATGCTAATGAGCTCATTTTGGGTTGCGGATACGTTTTTATTTCTGTCTTGCCAACGCCAATGCTAATTAACATAAAACAATATAATATGCCATTTAATGTAATACGTACATTTGTTGCTTGAACATAGTTAAAATTTCTTCAACGTGAAATAGAAACGACCACAATTGGCATGGCTATTTTTAATTACCCAAGAATTATAGATTGGATGTACCAAATGTCTGTCTGCCAAAGGAGGGGTGTAATTATTTAATTTAAAAACAAATAATCTTGACGAGAGTCTAAAATTTGATAAAAGTTTACAGAATCTGAAAATGAATCCTAAGGCATTATTTCAATATAGAGGAGTAATTTTAGGTCTATAATTATAGCCATATTTTGTGTAATAAGGCTTAGATAAAATCTCGCACCTTATAATTTGACTATTTCAGCACGAGTTGTGATCACCCATTCATTTCGGATTACAAAGGCACAGACAACTGCTTAGGTAGCGTGAATCTTACTACAGAAAGAGTCCACCTTTGAGCTGGATACCCTTAGTGACAGCACCTCCACACTGGGCCACATCGGCGGAAACACACAGACAGGCGGCAAAGGAAGGAACAGGGTTTCTGAGATGAGAGACAATGACGGTGGCATGGAGGACAGAGGAAGCATGGCAGTCAGGAAGGGAAGATGATGAGGCCATTGTGGGTTCACCTAGAAACACCTGCAGGTAGAACACTCTATTTCAAGGGAAAGATGCCTTTCCAAATTCCAAAAGGATGGAGTTAGAACGAAGGTTTGTTAAACAAACAAAACACCAAAAATAGGAGCAAGCCAGAAACCAGGTTGGCCTTAAATGAAAGGCTCTGTGGTGCCATGATTCATGCGGATGCGACCTTCACGGCTGCCCGCTGGCACAGCCCTTGTCCAGGTCGGGGGTCCGTGCCCTGGGCGGGGGGTACTCCGAGGCCTTCTCCCGCCTGCCAAGACTGCCGTCTGCCCGAAGGCCCGAGTAAGTCCCGCCCACCCGCTCCGCCATCCCCTCCAGACACAGGCCTGTTTTTGGGTCTTCGGAGAAATCTGACCCACCCACCACGCGTCTTCCCAATGACCAGCAAGAGGGGCTCTCAACTCTAGGGGAAAACACAGGTGCCCCTTCTACCAGCCTCCATTTCCTTAATTTCATTATCTAGTAAGAAGTAGACCTTTCACAAAAAAATCAAAAAAATTAACTTGTTCCCAAAGGTGCCAATTTCTTGTATTTTTTCACAGTGTGTGTTATTTCCCAAGAAAGTCCCTTATTACATAGCAGCTCTGGCAGGGGACGAGAAGGCTGTGCCAAGCGCTGTGACGTGTTGGCGTGAGGACTCGCTCAAATGGAGTCCCGTGCTACACACGGCTGCGAAAGGCGGGGCCCGCGGCCCGCGTGTGACCCTACGGCTGCGCTCGTCTGGGACAAGAGCACGACGGGCTGAAACGAAAGCCTGAGAACGCAGTCGCAGTGGTTAGAGGGCAGCCGGGTGAAAACATCCACATGCTGTTCCCAAAACTGATCACGAGTTTCTCCTCCTTGCAGAATGCATTAATTCCTGATTACATTTCCCCAGACGTAGATCAAAGTTAATATTTACGTATCTCTTAAAAGCACTAGGAGAGGAAATGTATTTATTTTTTCACGCTGCCGTGACATTCCCTCTTTAAGCCTTTATTATGTGCTTTCATATCTCGACGGGATGGAAATAGCATGACTAACATCTGCCGGTAAGTATGAGAAGGCAAAATCTAATTTTTAAATTATACGTTAAATTAGTCTAATATATCAGGATTGATGATGTACGTCTGAGCCCACCTATTCCAGATATTTAAGGTTCAGAAAGAAAAATGAGTGCGTCCTTTGCCGAGGCACCGCCTGGTACCGTGGACAGCTCCTCACGCAGCAGTGAAGAGGCCTGGGTGCTGAGCGACCTGGACATAGCTGAGCCTCCGTGGTGGCGGGGGGTGCCCCAGCCACCCCAGCCACCCCAGCCGCCCCTGCCGCAGACAGCCCAGCTCAGCAGGCGGCGGGCCGGACTCCCGCCGTGTACAGACCCAGCAAACACAGGACATGTCCCCGTGAACTGCTCCGTCCCCTGCTGCCTCGGTCCGCAGCCCCGGCCACCGCATCTAGCCACGCCCTAACTCCAGGACCCCCTTGAAGAAGCCACTCTGCCCCTGAAGCTGTGTCTGCCTCTCTGAGAGAGTGCCCAGTTAGGAGTTACTGGTTGAATGAGTAAACGAACAAAGAGATGCATCAATCAACATAGTAACAAACATTACTAAAAAGTAAAAACAAGCCCTTTGTTAATAAAAATCAAAAGCAGGGGCTTTCCTGTAAAAAGCCCTCTGCTCTGATGCGTGTAGGGCGCTGTCACTCGTGGGGGACTGGCACACGGACAACCGGCTCCCGCCGCCCTCCCCAAGGAGCCTGGTTTGTGCTGTTTCCCGCTGTCCTCGGTGTCACTACTTGAGCCGATTTCAAGCGACTGCTGCAGCGTCACTTGCGAAGGAAAGGACAAGCGCAGGGGGCCCCGCCACCTGCTCGGACCTGTCGCCGGCTGGCACTCTGCTCGCAGTGGCTGCAGCTGTCCATCTGCGCTGACTCGCACTGTTCAGAGTGTCTCCCCTATTTTGAAAATGTGTCGCTAACGCCAGGGGTGTGAAGAGCCTCTCAGGAGTGGGGTGTAAGCCGGCTGAACGCCACAAAACGTTCGCCGGACACACGACCCCGTGGGGCTGCTGGAGAGCTTGGAGGGCCGGGCAGGGGCGCGGCTACTCACGCGAGCGTGTCCGGGTCCACGCGGCCCGTCGTGTTGATGCCGTAGAACTGCTGCATGGCGGCCAGCGCCGACTGCATGGTCGCGGCGGAGCGCAGGGCCGACGCGTGCGGGCCGGGCGCCGGCAGGTAGCCGTACTTCTGCAGCCACACCTGCAAGCGACACGGACCTTTTAGAGCACGGCGCGGTCAGAGCGCGTCCACGGGGCCTTCACACTGTTTCCTCTACAAGGGCGCGCGTTAGTTAAGTGTTTTTTCCTCTTCTAACATGTATTCTGTTATTTAGGTTATTTTAGTATCATTTTGGGGGTTGTTCTGCATCTTTCTAACATATCTACAGATGCTATTTGAAAAAAAAGATGAATAATTTGTTGCAAGCTTGCGGTTTATAGCACTGGATAAAATCACAGAAGGTCATCTCTTAGTCACCTACAAGGGAGCACCCATAAGACTGTCGGCCGATTTCCCAACAGAGACTTTGCAGCCCAGAAGGGCATGGCATAAAATATCCAAAGTGATGAAAACCCAGGACCTACAACCAAGATGACTCTACCCAGCAATGCGACCATTTAGAATCAAAGGACAGATAAAAGGGCTTCCCAGACGAGAAAAAGCTAAAGGAGGTCATCACCTCCAAGCCAGTATTACAGGAAACGTTGGAGGGACTTCCTTAAGAAGAAGAACAATATGTATCAAAAATATAAAAAAAGAATGGCAACGACTACATAGCTATTAATAAGCACCTCAAATAAAAAAAAGAATTAAGTGCTCTAATCAATAGATAGGGTGGCTGAATGGATAAGCAAACTAAACGGTTCCATATGCTGCCTGCAAGACTCGCTTCAGATCAAAAGACACACGGATGCAAAGAGAAGGGGTGGAGAAAGCTACTGCATGATGGACCTGGGGAATAGTGCGCTGAGTCGGGTGAGACAGAGAAAGACGATGCCATGTGATCTCACGTACAGGTGAAATCTAAAGAAAAAATAAACAACAAAAAGGAAAATGAAACGAACTCACAGATAACAGAGAACATTTTGAGGGTTAACAGGTGGGAGGGGTGGGGGGATGGTTAAAAAAAAGGGAGGGATTAAAAAGTACAAATTGGTAGTTACAAAATAGTCATGGGGAAGCGAAGCACAGCACAGGGAGGGCAGCCAATCATCTTGTAATAACTACGCACGGAGTCAGAGGGCACTAGATTTACTGAGTTACACAGAAGTCTAATCACTAGGTTGCACACCTGAAGCTAATATAATATTGTATGCCAACGATAACTGAAAAATTAAAAATATTATTTAAAAAAAGATCATCCCTGCCCTCCGGATCTCAACTCCCCGAACAGAGGATGGCACTTTTTCCACACACTGACCCCAGGGACATCCACGCGGGAATGTGAAGGCAAAGCGCACGTCACACCTCTGAAATGTCCTTTTCCGAATAACTGAGCAGCGGCCACCGCGGGGTGAGGAGTAAACTCGCAGGTGCGCCCTGCTGTTCTGTCACAGCAGTCTGGGCACAGATTTCATGCAGCCAGTTTACCCACTTGTCACCACATGTCTTCGAGGATAGGCAACTGTTTCTCATGTGAAGAATGTGCTTTCGTGTTTAAGATGGTTCAGCTCCATTTGAATAATGTCAGTGGCCACGGCTCCCTCGGATGGATGGGGTCAGACAACCCTGAGCAGTTGATGGTCTGGCCCTTTCCTTAAGAACCTCTTTATTTGCATTCTCCTCTTGGCCAGGGAAGGGCGAGCTGGGCGGATATGAGGGGCGACGGTGGAGGTAAGCTCACACACACCCCGTGGTGATCACAGCAACCATTCAGTCATTTAAGGTCAGACTCTAACCGTCACCCCAAACTCGGGGTGGCCGGGTGAAAGGCTATCGAGCCGATGCATTCGACAGAGAGGCACAGTCCTGTGTTCAGTTCGCACCCCGTGCCACTGCCCGCATCTCGACCTCCCTTGGGGTTCTAGTTTCTTCAGGTACACGGCCTGCCTGTCAGACGAGAAAGGCCAAGGCCCCGTGCCCATGGGACAGACGGCAGCGGTGCCTTGGAGGGAAGCCCCTCCCTGCGTGCTTCCCTCCCCCGAGTCAAGCATCCTGGGAAGGACGCGCCGCTGTCCTTGATGCGCGACACGCTCCCTCTGTGACCTTGTCCCTGATGCGCGACACGCTCCCACTGTGACCTTGCCACCACAACGCAGGACAGCTGTTCCCTCCAGGAAAGCTCACACACACCCCGTGGAAAATAAGCAGTGAGTATAGAAGTTAAACGTCACCATAGGAACCAATACTGAATCTGTCAGCGATCTAACTGGGAAACACGATGGGGCGTTTTGCGGTATTTCCAGGAAATCGGTCCCCTTGAAAGTGCAGCGCCACAAGCACGACACCCCAAAAACAAAACGTTTACTCTGAACGTGTGTCAGGGAGCAGCAGACATCACCTATCGCCGCCGGGAGGTCGCCATGGGGACCCTGTCCAGGACAGTCCTCCCGCACACGGTGACGTGCCGAGGCACTCGAGCCACCTAATCTGGAATGGGCAGGCTGCCAGGGAAGTCACGGATGTTGAGTCGCCTCGTCGGCAGTGCCGCAGTCTAAAATAGATCCCACCTTTTTCTTAATGAAGGAGACAAGATTTCACTGGCAATGCATTATTTATTTATTTACTAGGAAATTCGATACCTATTATCATGGAATTTCCCCCAAATCAGAAGATTTCACCTGGACCTTTGATAGCATATGTGCGCTAATATTCTGAAATTGGACTCTTTTTTTCCATAAGGGTTTGCATTAATTTCTTACTTGCTGGAGAGCTGACGTGCTAGGTCATTCATGGGTGCTGGGATCCGGGCAATCACATTTATGAGTACAGTAAAGAGGAAACCATTAATAATAAACCTTGTGATTTGTGTACAAATAGGAAGACTACAAAATATATAATTTTAAGTGCATAATGAAAAAATAGCATGTTCTAAAAAAATAAATATTTCACTTCAACTTTAACCTTTCACACAAATTAATTGGAATAAAAAAATGAACTGAGATTTTTCTTTGGGTTCTCGTTTATATTATGGCATTTATCATGAAATGTTGTTTTTCCAAACGATTGAGAAGTGGGTAGTTCTTTTTAATTGTAAAGCATTAGGTAAGCTATGAGAGCTACCATTTTATGGTCAACATTTGTTTTATTTTTTTGGGCTGATAAATCAAAGTCATTGAGATTATGGGTCAGCTTGAGTGGACCATTCTTAATGCCGCCGTTATTTGTTAATCAAGAAATTGCTCTAATATCATCGAGAATCAACCTGGAATAATTGTCAATTGACACTTGTAAAGCATCTTTCCACCTGGTGCCAAGTTTGAGTGGGAAACCAGCAAGCCCTCAAGGACATTCTGTACCGAAGTAAAAACTGCCAGAGACAACCTTGCTCTTGTCAACGTAAAAAGCGCTGATCCCACCTAAGACGACCTGCAGTAGCACCTGGATCCACGCTGCTTCTCTACACATGTAAACGCAACACAGAGCCTGGACGAAAGCAAACACTTGCTTAAATAATCCTCGAATCTCCGACAGGGGTCGTCTCTTGCATCTGTTTTTGGTTTATGTTACTTCTCTCTCATCCGCTGAGATCACAGTTCTGAGAGTCTGATCCTTTTTGGTGTGATGAAAAAAAAAGACCCGTACCAAACAAATAGCCCTAAATGATAAGGTGTCAATGCACCTGAGGAGCCTAAGTTAGTCCATGTGGTGACATAAAACTAGCCAGGTAGAAGCTGGACAGCACGCTCAGAGTCGGCGGTGGCAGATGACAGTGGCCACGTGGGCAGTGTTTGTAAACCCTGACGTGAGTTGCCGCTGGATGGAGATCGGGCACGAACACTGGCCTGCAGTCACCGCCGGCGCGGGAGGCTCTGGTGCACGTGCGCTGATCCCATCTCTACAGAACGAAGCCCCGGGACACAGGTAGGGCGCGGCAGGTGGCCTTCGCACAGCATCATCCAATAGTAGTGAACACCTGGGAGTTTGGGGAATTGGGATGTGACAGGTGACAGAGAGGAAAACCTTTCCTTCTCTCTTGGTTTCTACTTAATTACTAACTTATGATATCTTATTTGATAAAAAAGTTAAAATAAATCTATAAACTAAGATTTGAAGGTAACCTTACCCCTTCAAGACTATACTGTAGACATCCATCCTCATACATTGTTATTTGAAATATACCCCTATTTTCGACAGTTTTAAAATATTGCTTTTCCTGGATGATTTGAAACAGTAAATTTGGAGACTGTTTGCCGTTTGATATTTTTTCAGCGTTTTGAAATGCACATAGGGGACAGTCGAGGAATAATTTCCTCTCGCGTGCATTTGGGAGAAGGGATGCTGCGTTTCTAGGGTCGATGTGAGGACTGAGTATGCAGAAATCCAGCAGCATAATTCTTGCTCACTAAGTCACATTTTATGCTCACCAGTTGCCCTGGGCTTTTGAAATTGCTCCTGCTCTGGATCAACTCTGCCCCTGGAAATAAGCGAGACTGAAAACGCAGGTGTGATCTGAGCACCAGACTTGTGAGGACGGACGAACCACAGGTACTGGGTAGGAATTGCCCAGGACCCCAAGAAAGGGGACGTATGGCAAACCTGGCAACTCTGTTTTGTTTCTTTGCTTTGTTTTGTTCGCTGGATGGAATGTGCATTTGAGGGCACTGAGAAAACATGGAGAGACAAACGAGTTTCCTCGAGGCACAGCTTGACGCCTTAGCCTGTCTCATTATCACGGGCCCAGCCAACCACAGAAGCTCAAATGCAGCAACAAAATCTCGCCTCGCGTCCCGCCCCCTGCCTTCTGGGGCGCTCAGGGTCCTTGCTGCCATCTTACAGACGAGACCGATTTCTGCAGTTGTCGCTGAAATGGGGGAACCACCAGAAGGGTGACGCTCTCCGCAGAGCAGGGCACTGCAGCGAGCAGGGAGAGGCACTTAGACATCACGTTCTGCGCCGACGGACGCGCCTTCGCTGGGCTGCAGCGCGGGGTGAGCAGCAGGCACGCACTTCGCTAAGCCCATTACAAAAGGACGTCTCTGAGGCTCACGTTTCGTGTAGCCATGCTGCGAAAGCCTGTCCTGACTGCTCGGCTCTCCACA